ATTCAGTGCTCCAAGAAAAATCTGCAGTTAAGACTTGTTTGATCTCAAAAGAAAGGCAACTCTAATGTTTTCACAGTATTTTGCTTTTATTTTCAAACCTGAGATCACAGGAAGAATTGATCCTTCAGTTCTTGAGGCAAATCTCTCTATTTCCCTCATGAATATTCTCCCAGCATGGGATCATTCTGCATCATTTCAAAGGTGTTTGTTTTCTCTTCAGCTGAATAAGGACAGAACTGATCATCTCCTATAGCTTCTCACCAGTTTGAAGGCCTTGCATACATCGCTGTAAAGTTGAATCTGTCTCTAACACCAGGGGGATTTTTGCCATGAGAAATTGTTTCTTACCCAAAACTAAAGTATTACCTGCGTTAGAGATGAGAACACTGCTTGGTAAAAAGGTTCTGCGACAACTTGTGGGGAATAGCCTTGTCAAGTAAATCATGGTTCTCTGCTCCCAGCTACAAATTCTGTGCAACCTGCTTTAGTGTAAGGGATGGAGGCAGCGTGCAGATATTGTCCCACTTTCGTAGGTGTTTTAGGGATCAGGAAGAGATCACAACTAACTTTGGGAAGCTTGGTTGATCCTTGAGTGCCCAGCTAACCGCAGTGTCTGGTGTTACTCACAGTACTTTCATAGCTGCTGTGTGGTCAGGAAGAAATTGGTCTGAATGTTCATGAGTCTTACCAGGGGAAAATGGGAGTTCGTTCATTCCTTCCTTCCTTCCTTCCTTCTTTCTACATACAATTTATTTTCTGGACACTTCTGAACAAGTGCATAGGCAGAGTACAACTAGCAGATGAGAACGTCAGAAGACAGTCTCATCACAGTCTGCAGAAAGATGGATCTTAACAGTAACAGCTGCGTGTCCTCCTTTCCAGAATTGCATTAATGCCTTCCCTTGTTCCAGACACCACGCTGAAATTTTACCTCTTGCAATATTTAGTAGGTTATGTTTCATACAGGTACCTGTATTCAAGAACTTCTTTCTGTGTGCTTGCAAAGAAAATAAAAAGGTAGGAAACTGCCCACAAACAGCCACTGCTGCAAATAATGAGGGAAATTCTCTCTTTGCTGGTGTTTCCAGATCCAGAATTCTTCTGCTTGAATCCCAGCTGTCTCACAAATACTTTGGTCACACTACATCTCAGCCAGGAATCTCAGTCTTTAGAGAAGTCTGTATCTAGCTTCAACCTTTACCATTAATGACTGGTATAATAAACATGGGGCCTATTGACCATTGCTTTACTCTTCGAGTTTGCAGGTATTTGCTTCTTAACTTGCACTTAAAGGTCTGGGCCCATCTCTAATTTACAGTCCCCTTTAAAACTTTATTATCCAAATAAATGCTGAAATGTTTTTGCTGGACTTTGAACTTTTCTTCTGTCAGGTAAAACTTTTCACATTTGAAAATGAACTCTTTTAATGTTGAGGTCACAGTTTGTGCACACAAATGTTATCCTAGATTTACGAGCCAGCAAGCCTCTTAAGAATTTCTGTGCCTTGTAATTAAAATATATATAAAAACAGGTTTTCCCTTTCTGCGCTTGCTGATACTTTATATCTGATCTGACACTTTCCTAATTTACAAGAAAAACTCTTATCGATTTTTGTTTCATTTTTCATGACGTGCTTTGGTTGCATGTTAGAGAAACAACAACTACTGCTGTAACCTGCTTGTGACATGTTTATGGTTATAGATGGGGAAAAAGAAGGAAAAAAAAAAAAAAAAAAAGAGTTCCTTAGAAATGGCAGCCATACCACCAAAATTGCTTGTCTGTCCGGAGAAGAATATTGCATTCTCTAAAAGCAGATCTGTGTAGGATTTGCATTAGAATCTACAAAAGACTAAAAGCAAAACTGTTCCAGGAACTTGAATAGCTTCTTGCAGATTTTTAGATCCTTGAAGTTTTCATTTGAAGTGCCAAGTTTTCCTTTAGAAGAAGGATGCTGTGAAATATTAGAGGCCTAATGAAAGTCAATGAAAGACGAACAATGTCCTGAGCGTGTATCTTTTGAATTTGCTGTTACAACTTCTAGGATTGTCTCCTGTAGCCCCATTGCTTAATCCAGGAGTGACTGAAAAACACTACCTCACTCAAGCACCACCTTCTGAGAAGCTACCATAAGCCCACGGACGTGCGGCGGGTGCCTGGACAGCACAGCTGCAGGCCCTTAGACATCCCACCACCAGACTGCAGTGGGGTGAAAGGAAGGGAAGGAACCACAATGAGAGACACGGAGAGAACCAGGCTGCTCTTTCTCTCCAAGCATCATTAAGATTTTCTCCTGAACATATACCATGTTTTTTTTACAAACGAGTATCCCAGTCCTTCAGTAGACATCTACGTGAGAAGCCTCGTGTAGATTTATACAAACTCTACACAACCAAGTATAATTTATGTGATTTTAGCTTCAACACACTTTTCAGAAATTATCAGTGGCAGACCAGAAGTGGAACCAAAACCAGCAGATTCCTGCTCTGGCTAAACACTTCAGAAGTTAACTTAAGGCCCAGCACGGTGCCAGAGCCAGCCTGCACACTGACATCGTGGACACACACGGGTTTAAAGCTTGCACTCAACTCCAGCTGCTCAGGACCAGCCGGCAGTCTAGCAAGCAGGCCAACTTCCCCACTGAAAATTACAAGAGCTAAAGTGACTTTTGAAATCAGTGTAATTTAATTATGTTTATAAATGAGGCTCTTCACACACAACAAAAAGATTATTCAAAATGAAGGAATTTGCTGTCTTTTAAGTGCTTTCCAAAAGATAATGATTTAAAGCAATCTTCTCTCTTCTCTACAAATCACATTATGTAAAAACTGTAATTCACATCTGAAAACTCTGACGAGTCATTTCCCATACCGAATAAGGGCTGAACTGGCAGCTTGCGGCGTTTGTTCCAGTTAGAGTCAGCTAAACCAGGCCACTTTGCAATTACAGATCCTGGCTGTTGCTATTGCTGATTAATGCATTTAGATGCTCAGCCATTCTTATTGAAGGAAAGACAAAAACATTATTAGAGCTTTTTAATTTATTATAGGCAGTGTCCTCAAAGAGCCGAGGGAAGCGCTAACACATACAAATATGTTGAAAACGGACAGATACGAACTCAACAAAAACAGTTTAAACTTAACATCCTTTCAGAAAAACATCAAACATTATTATACAAATTCAGAGTATCCTATCACATCTACTTTTTAAGTGAGTTTGTAATTTGTATTTAAGTTCACCATCACTCAGGAACTTTTCCTCGAGTCTAATCTTTTCAGCCAGTTACCGTACTGAGCTTATACAGTACACTGGTTTCAAGTATCGCAAATGGGTAATACTGTAAGTATCCAAGTAGTAACAACAAATTGGTTTAATTTTCAAGTCCATTTGTTCCACTGAAGGTGCACTATTAAAACAGTAAATGTTTTTAAGAAAATGTAGTATACCTGCATATTACAGCTTCTCCCATTTCACTCTGCTAATTGTGTAGCTTGAAGTTAAAAATTGCATTCTACAGCTAGAAAACCTACACAAAGAAGGGAGGAAAAACAATCAGTAGAGATTTGCTCAAAATGAAAAATCCTAATGTTTCAATTAAACAAAGTATGTTCTGCTTTTGAAGACAGACTTCCTTAGCATACGATCGTTATTTTGTAAAGGTGCACTTCCTTTCTCCGCTGTTCAAGACACCGTATCATCACGTAACAGAATCCCACCTTAAGGCACAGCATTCAGGATTAGATGTTGGTGCTGGAAATCGTTACACATCTCCCACCAAACGTTATCCCAAGTTGCTGAACCAGTGTAGGGTTATCAATAGTGCTCTTAGACACAGACCTCTCTCCCCACCAGAAGTGAACAGCAACATAAAAAAATCAAATCGCACGTTTGCCCCCTGCTGCAGGAAAAACCTCTTTCTGTGCAAAAAGATGATTTCTTAATTTTTAACCCCCTTAATTTTAACCTCAGCTTCACTGGAGGAGCACCTGCCCCTTTTTTACTGTGATCTACGTATGAAATGTGCCTTCACTTTGCTTTTATTTATTATTGTAAGAGCTCAGCCTGCAGTTTTCATTTTATAAAGATGCAGAAAAATAGCATTCAACACTGAAGCCCTGTGCTCTGGAGCTGGAAGTTGGTAGCATGCACACAAGAAGGCAAGATGACTTTCTGACATGAGCTTGCACCTGCCCATTTCCCAGTCCGCATGGTATAATACTACACATTTTGCAGAACTAGCGCACCTTGCAGAAAAGTAGACTAACTCTCAGTCTGTACTTAGGTATATTCGAGGTCTTCAGTGTCAACCGCCCTACCTTATTTGTACTTGCTAGAACACAGGGCATTTAATTAATTCCACAGCATGTTTAAAATCGCTGTAGGGTTGCTGGTTAAAATGTTCAGGGGTTTATTAGCTTTGTTATTCTCACTTATGAGAAGATGGACAGTTGTTGATACTGTGGGTTTGGGAAAACAAAGATTTAAAGAGTTTGGGCTTAAAAACGAACCAGCCCACCGATCCCTACCCC